TAGCCGCCTCAGCATCCTTCTCGATCACACGTACTCGCTTGCCTTTTCCAATGCCATGTGCTTTTCGAGCGACTTTTTGAAGACGAGGCAATCTTCCAAAGAGTGTCTGCCGACTTGTGTATAGGGCACCATGTTTTCTTCGTGTCGCTACCTTGTGGGTCTGGGCGCTTGGGAGGGATCGCGTATTCTGCTGCGAGAACTTCCACTTGAGCTTTCCTTTTCCCACTCTTGCGATTTTTCTTCTTGCTTGACTCAGGTGCGTCTTTGGTTGATTTCTTCTCTCCCCCGGTCTTCGGCTTGTCGTTCTTGCGTCTCAGTGCATCGTCCGCGTGAGCGCATCGATCGACAATCTCGAATAATCTCCGAGCAGTCGTGATGCGCCTTGTTGCCAACTCCTGGGTAGTATAGCGATCTCTGACACCGGACTTGAAAGCGCGGATTACATAAGCGTCGGTGATTTCGGGGATTGTATTTCTGCACTCATTAAAGCGCCGAACATATTCCCTCAAGGATTCACCCGGGTTCTGTGTTAACGCATGTAGGTCGTCTTCGATCGCATGTCGCTTGTAAGTTCCTTGGAAGTTGGCGATGAACTGCTGCCACAGGTCTGCTCACGAAGAAATCGAGTAGGGCGGGAGATGCATCAGCCATGAACGCGCAGAGCCTTTCAATGCAGTTGGCAAATAATTCGCCAACGCGTTGTCGTCTGCTCCGGCAGCGTAGAGTACTGTGGAGTAGACTTGAAGGAATTCATCTGGGTCGGTACTCCCATCGTACTTCTCTATTGCTCCTGGTCGGAATCCCTCAGGCCATCGGACATCACGCAGCGAACGACTGAAAGCTCTACACCCCCCAGTCACATTTAATGGCTAGAGCCTTAGCCAATCCTGAATTCAAGAAAAGAGGAGCAAGCATATTAAAGGAGCACGTATGCCTTGTACTTGGACTTGGGGTTACTACAGGGGTTAAAAAGGTAGGCACCTTTTTTATTTAGACCTTTTTTTTATCTACTTATCTAGCTATCTAGTTTATCTACCGGCTCGCTGGGGGCGGTGGGTTGTCGGCGATCGTACGTCCTTCGTGGATGTCTGTCTGACGATGAGGATGAGGAAGAGGATGACAATGACGATGGGTCACTTGGTTCCGGTGTACGATTACGAGGACGTCGGCTGGGTTCTCGAGAATCCTGTCATCGCCCTCTGTTGTTGTCCCGGCGCCGATCTCCATCGTCGTCATCATTATGGTGGCGTCCTCGACCAGTATCACCCGGCAACCGCCGTTCGCAATCATCGTGATCATGGCGGTTGTGGCGGTTATCACGGTCTCGGTCTTCGTTCGAGCGGCCTCCTCGTTCTTCATTATCGTGACGTCGTGAAGAGACGCGATGTCGGGAACGGTTCCCGTTGTCTCGTGTGCGTCGTGCCTCTCGGCGGCCATTCAGGTGATCGCGGAGATCGCCGGTGCCGCGAGGTGGAGGGGTAGCTCGATGAGGCGATTCCCGCTATTCAGGGTTTTCGCCATTAGCACCGCCAGTTGGTGGCTGTTCCGGGTGCGCTGCAGCAGCGGCCTCTTCGAACGTGTTGCTGAGGTTGGTCACTGATTCCCATAGCCGTTCTGTCCACTGTGCGAAATCGTCGTTCAGAACGGGGTCGTAGGGGGTCTTCCTCAATATTGCGTTGATGGCCCTGATGTGCTGGGCCGGTGTTGTCACTTGAATTTCCGCTTCCGCATTGGCGCGTGCTGACGTGCTGGTCCCGTCGATAGCCAATACCTCACGTGGCGTACTCGCTGGCGATGAGCCATAGTCCTCGAGCAGGTGCAGAACTGACGGTTCGTGGGGATCGATGTCGATTACTCCAACGAGAATCGATCTGAGACCAGCGTCGCTCCTTGTTCCTTGTCCTCATCCCTTAGGGAGATGCCTGACTGCTGGACCTTAGAAGATGACGTCTTTATGGCGCTGAGAAAGATCTTGCAGCTTGAGAGGTCGTGATTCTTTGTCTTGTGAATAGGACAATAAACATCACGGGTTGGAGAAACACGCTGAATTCCACGCTCTTTGCAGGCACGAATTTCAACGTGGACGTTGAGAAAAACCCAGCAAGCTTGCAAGGTGTGTTTCCTGGTTTTGTGGATAGGACACCAGGGCCTTGTCACCTCAGAAGTTATCCTCGTCGGCTCGTGGTCCTTGTCGGAAAGACAAGGTTTGGCCGCACTAGGGTCCTTCTCGGGCTCGGATGTCGTCGACGTTCCGTTCTCCGCTTCGGCGGGAGGATCCTTCGACATGGAGTCGTCCTGGGTTGTAGCCACTACGTTCTCGTTTCCGGTCATCGATGGACCAGTTGAGATCGGCACCGTGGTGTAAACCGGGAAGACGATTTCGCCGACTTGAGTCCACACCAGCATTGTTGAAGCATGAACTCCTTGGTTGAGGTCGGTGTTGACGCTGTTGTCGACGAAGCTGGATGACATGGTAGTAGAACCTTGAGCACCAAGTCCCCTACCTGGCGCGCCACTGTCGACGGGGGATACCCGTAGACCGGATATAGAGGGTATTGGGGTACGCTGGTACGGGGATCTACGTAATACGATATCGAGCAGACAGAAAACGAAGATTATACTGGTTCAGGCCCCTTGATAGGTAATAGCCCTAATCCAGTTGATATGGGATTATATGATGGAAATCACAGGTTACAAAGGGAACAATGGAACTCGATGATACCGGCGAGATCGTAATCGAGCTGGTTCGACTAGATCCCCCGGCGACTTGGCTCCTGTAGGCTCCGACTTCGTAGGCTGTGGTGGATGTGTTGGCTATGAGATTCGATGCCTTAGGTCCTCCCAGGGGGTCCCTTTTATATCGCAGGTCAGGCGGTTCCCAAGTAGGACTTGGAGATATCGGACCCTGCACGATACATTGACGACCCAGTCCTGTCCGAGTAGGACTCTTTCCATTTGTAAACTCCATGAAGGATTTCCTTAATGTATGCAGAGAACGTCCATATACGCGCAGGGATGCCATATCAATATGTGACGTATATCGAAGGGTAAAGGGTATACCTTACCCGTAACTCTAACATGTCGATCTCTAAATTTATCCATAATTTTTTTAATATAATTATATATCGTTCAATATTATTTATCTTTGTAGCTTTCTAGATTATGTTTAACAAAAATATCTTTCCACTTCTTAAAAACTAGTCAAGTATCCTATATAAAGATAATATCATTAACAAAGATAATAATTATTGTTTACTCATGTAAAAACATAGATAATATATATTACGGAGCACACACACATGAGTTAGTTGCTACTTCCTCCGTTTCATAATGTAAGTCATTCTAGTATTTCCCACATTCATATGGATGTTAATGAATCTAGATAGATATATATGTCTAGATTCATTAACATAAATATGAATGTGGGAAATGCTAGAATGACTTACATTGTGGAACGGAGGGAGTAGTATTTATGTGCAAGTAATAGTGATGGTTGTAGCAATATTATTATCAAAAATAAATAAGAATGAGAAAACGAGAAGAAGATGAACAACAGAAGAATATAAGGTTAAAGTTTTAGTTTCACATCGTGTTACGACGAAGAATAATTTTAATAATATTAGTATATTATCGATTAATGTGAGTATATACCATGGATGTGAGTAACTTTCCCCACGTGTGTTTGAGCTAATGACTAACCTCCTCTTCTTCTTAAGAAGTTGTCCTAACGTGTTTGGTAAAAAAATGTTTTGTTTTGAGTAAAATAACGAAACAATTTGACTACATTAATTTTCAGAGAGAATTCATTGTGCGCCGCTGACTTTGTCTATGTTCTATAATATGGTACTGAGTTTGTTAAGTTATACAATATGCTATCGTATTTTACTTAACCTCTATAATATACCGTCGCTGTCCATTTAGACTCCGTTAGTGCTGTATAAATTTGTCCTAGTGACTGAAATATCCCCAGGACGGAAATTCTAAAATTTGGCCGAAAATTCCGAAATATCATATTATAAACAAGGCAGAGAAGTTGCCCATCTCAAATTTGGAAGTTTTACAATTTGATATTTGGAATTTTTTATCCCAAGGCTATTTCTGTTATACTGATAAAATTATACAATACTAACGGAAGCTAACTAGACGATGATGGCATGTTATAGAGGTTAAGCAAAAGTGTGATGGCATATTAGAACTTGACAAACCAAGTAACATATTATAGAATAAGGATAAAATCAGTAACACATGATTCTATATTTTATTATTTTTTATGGTTGTTTAGTTTATCACCTATCTACTATCATACGGCATTTTTAGAAAAAGTTAAATCTTATACTTCTTCTGTTTCATATTATAAGATTTTTTCGCATTGCCCACATTCTTATAGATGTTAATGAATCTATACACATTCATTAATATCTATAGGCATGTTTAGATCCTCCAAAATGGCAAAAATTTTGCTATTTTGAAGCACTTTTGTCATTTTAGATCTAAACACTAGTAGCAAAAGTTGGCAATTTGGTATTTGCTAATCCCTGGTAGCAAATATTACAAAAAAAAATGCTCTGGGACCACACTCTCTTTCTTTCCCTCTCTCTAGTGCTAAAATGGTAAAACTTTAAGATGCGTTTATACACCAACTAGTACCTTTTGTAATGTCAAATCTTTTGCTACCAAATCTTTTGCCATTTGCTATTTCAAATAGAGCTAAACAGCCCCTATATAAATATAGACAATGTTAAGTCTTATAATATAAAACGGGCGGATTACTATATAAGTTCGTATCTTTCACATTACTATCGTGCGAACGTCTCGTCTCCGTTCTCCATCGGAAACCCTCGCCGCCGTTGTGTGGGTGGAAAAAATGGAAAGGGTTGGGAAGAGCGAGAAGAGAGCGAGACTTTTCCGCGAATATATCCTCTCGCGGAAAGCGATTCCGATCGGACGACCCAGGAAGGAAGGTCTCGGATCGGACGGCCAAGATGGGCCTTGGGCCGAAAGGAGAGAGGCCCAGATGAGTTGCGTTAAATCCACGGGTGAGGAGAGAGAAAAAGGAGGTCAAGTTCTCTCTCTCTTCCTCTCGTCGCCGGAGGCGGGAGGCCATCGACGCTGAAGTGAAGGGGATCGCGATCTCCGGCGAGCGTGCGGGGGAAGATGGTAAGATCGGTGGTCAGATCTTGAAGTTTTGGTTGTTGGTCGTTTTGGTTGTGTGGATCTCTGCTGAGTTCTTGCACGGGTTTAAATCCTAGGGTTTTAGAGCATCACGAACAGCATACGCATATCGTTCCCAATCTCAGGTTTTGGGGGGATTTTCGTTAAAAACGCATTCCAACAGATGTATGCCCTGATCTACAAATTCCCATCTCCGGGAATTTCGTTCTCCATAGCTAGAGAATCGATTTGGCTCCCAATCGTAACATCTCCAGCTCATTCGCACGCAGGAGGCGAAATTTTCGCCATCCAGTTCATCATCTTTGTACCCTCGTCGCCACTGGGTCGTTCGTTCCTCAGTTCCGCCATCGGCTGGATCGCCGTCGCTGGTCCGGTGCGCTGTGTCGATTTGGGCAGCCACCACGATTTGGTCCCCGTGTCGGCTTGGTGCTGAATGTTGCTGTTGTGGTGGGGGTGATGCTTGCATGGGGCTGGGGCTGCTGCTTGCTTGCTTGCTGCCGATGATGATCTGATAAACATATGAGAACCGCTGGAAACTGAAATGTGCTACTATCGCTAAACTGAAAATTGCTTTCGTGCTCCATGTTGGTGCTGGAACTGATTGCTGTTGTTGCTGCCTACTTGGCTGCTTGCTGCTGCTTGGAGAGGAGAGGGAGTGGAGGAGGTGGGGGTGCGCCGGATCAATCTGCCGGCGTGTGCGTGGAGAGGGGCAACGAGGAGAGGGGCGAGGCCCATCGGTGCGGCTATTGGGTCACACCGGCGATCGCGGTCGAGTAGCTGAGCTTGATCTCGCGGGAGGGAGGGGGTGAAAACAAAATTTTTGTTAGAAGTTCATAGGCCCCCCTTTTAGTTTTTAGGAAGTTGATTTTAGCTAGTCTTTTGGAGGAATGAAAATTTTAACACCTTAAATTCTATTTAGGATTCCCATAATCAAAATTTTGGGGATAAAATTTTGGGATGCTGTTGGTGATGCTTACAGGTAACAGTTTGTTTGTTCCTTGAAAAGGTAACAGTTTGTTCATTCCCCGAAAAGTTTGGGGGTTCAGTTGAACCCCCATGTCCCAAGTTGGATCCGCCCCTGTTGTATGTGTTGTTCTGTTGCAACATGCCAATTCACATTCAGGAGTTGCATTTGTGGTTGGCTCCTTGCTTCATGTGGTTCATTTTTAAAAAATCACACATGGTTTTACACCTTTTTGTATGAACTGTAAAGTATCTATCTACCACTACTAGATCTCGCTACCTTACAACCTTTTTCTGTATTTCTTTTGTTAACTCCTTGATGTACTCATGAAAACTGTCCTTACTCCTATCTGAGAAGTTGCCCATACTTTGATTTGTAGTTGCTTGTTTTGAATAATTTTCGTTCACTGTTGCACCTTATGTTCTCAAGCACACTAGCTTGTGATATCAGCATGGAATTTCCTTCCTCCTGGCTGCAGTGTTTTTTCTCTGAAGTGGTTCTTATGGGTCTTCCATGACAGTTCCTTATGTTGTTCTTAATTAATTGCTCTAGCGTCCCATTGTAACGTGGTAGGGTAAGAGCTTTAGGACTTGGTGAAATAAATCTACTATGTTTTAATTTCATCTCCCAAGCAGTAATATATATTCACAGAAAATATTTTTTTTGGCTCTTTACATATAAATGATAAATCTCTCATTTATGTTTTACAATTTAACCCTTCTAGTCTTCCAGAAAGTTAGAAGTCCCAATTTTCTGTATAGACTAAACATCTTTTTATCAAATACTCCCTCTATCCCATGATATAAGGCGCGGTCGAAGTTGTCATGGTCTCCAAAACTAATCTTTAGCTAATAATTTCTCATATATTATTAAGATTTGTAGCAAAAAATTATAACCATATGAAAGTAAATTTAAATCTCAATCTAATGATATAATTTTTAACAAATAAAATTCATTTCATATTATACTAAGTGTTGGTCAAATGTTTTAAAGGTTGAATTTTGAAATGCATGCACGCCTTATATTATGGGATGGAGGGAGTACATGTTTTAGGTGTCTTGCTAAATATTAAATATAGATACGAAGATTATATTATGTGCACTCCAAATATTCGTCTTAGACAACATTTCAGTTTATGTAAGAGGAAGCAATAGTTCAATGCTATCCATAAAGGCATTGTTCTACCATGTAACTTCTCCTGATGGAACTATAAACTCTTATTGCTAGGCTGACCCAGAGTTGGAAGCTATCAGGCAGAGGAGAATGCAAGAGCTAATGGCACAGCATGGTGCGGTAAGCCTGTGGTTCATGGTGAAAAGTTGAAGCTGCAACAGCAATGTCCAGTTCTCTTGGCTGACTTTGATGTACTATTGTCCTTTAGGCAAATCCGCAAAATGCTGGGCAACAAAAAGCTCAAGAAGATGCAAAGCAGTATGCTCTATTTGTCAACCATGTTTATCCATAATATGAAACTAATCTGTGTTATGTTATGTTGTGTAAAACTATGTGCAGAATTTCATTAGTTTCATTTAATTCTTAACCAGGGAAGCTGAGGAACGGCGGCAGATGATGCTTGCTCAGATTTTATCTTCTGAAGCTAGAGAAAGGCGTAAGTTATGTTGATGTCATTTTTGTTGAACATTTGAAGTTATTTTTAGATCGTTTACGGAGTTAAAGTCAGTTTTTTAGAGGATACAGCCTTGTAGGGGATAATGGAGGTCCATGTCTTATGTGTTTTTTTACCACAGTGCCAATGTGTCATGTACTTTTTCTCAACAGCAGTTTAGTGTATATATGCTTAGTGTCCTATCACGATACTTCTGAAAGCACCAAAGTGATTGATTGAGATAATTTACCAATGTGGCTATCTGCAACTTGAAGTTAGGGATCATCCTTATTCTCTTAGGAACCATTTTATTTGTTTCCTTGTTTTCAATGATGATAACAAATTAGGAAAAATATTGGGATTTAATCCAGATAGAAGTGTGAATGCTGTTTGTGCTGACTTGGGGTTGCCAGATGGTTTGCAATGTTGAATTACAGGGAAATCTGTGAACCTCCCCCTCGAAATAGTATATGCAGTAAACTAACAAAATTATACATCTTGAATTGTATTTTTGTTGAGTATTGGTACTGTGGCAGTAGGCTGGACCAAACTGGCAAACAATTGCATGGATATATAATGTATAGTTTGCTTATCAGAATCAAATGTTCTGAATAAGGATGATTCTATGAAAAAGTCATACCGTTAATCTCACTTGAGGTGACACATAGTATTAAGGTGATGAAAAGGTTCTATAATAATGTATTTTTTTACTCTCTGGAGTTTTCAGTCTCCCGCATAGCTTTGGTCAAACCTGATAAAGCAAGAGGGGTGGAGGATGTTCTTCTGAGAGCTGCTCAGTCCGGTGGAATATCTGAAAAGGTACTAGAGGAGGGTAGCATAATCTTTGCTGTGTCAAGAGACTCATATGAAGGCTGACTTTCTTTGGGGGGAATTTTTTGGCTTTCAGGTGTCTGAAGAAAGGCTTATCTCACTTCTGGAGCAAATCAATACCCACACTAGCAAACAGACGAAAGTTACGGTATGATAAACATGGAAACTTCTATCAGTTTTTGACGTACCATGTGCACATAACTAAACTATCCTACCGTGCTTCCAACAGTGGTTTTGGGTAGCTTCACTACAACTAATTTAGTTTGGTTTGTAAGGATTCTCGTATGTTGTGATTCTTTCCAAGTCACTGATTGTACATCATCAAAAAAAGGAAGAGAAAATGATGCTAATATAGGCTAGTCTGTGAAGGGAAAGTATCCAATACACAACTGATTCTTTTTACTACGTTTTATTTCACAGATTCAGAGGCGCCGGAGCGTCCTTGACGATGATGACTAGCTGCATGTGTGTTGTGTGTACGATGAGCTGGTGGAGGAGTCTGCTGTAGCGCAAAACTACTTAGAAATGATGATTATCAAACGCTATATCAACAACCATCAAAACTTGAGCGACTATTTGATGGATATTTGGCCGTATATGAATTAATTCGAGTTTGGTTTGGCTTGTTCCATTGATGACATTCAAACTTTTGACTGCTCCGAAGGGGAATTGCCACACGTCCGACTGGTATGTACGACTTAGCATCCGACCAGTACTTACCTGCTCCTTGCTCTGGCCCACATGGAGAGCAGCTGGCTCGTTGGAGTAAATTGATTAGCGAACAATAGGGTCGGATGTATAGCAGTACTCGCTCCGAAGTGTGTATCCATCATATCATGAGTATCTTAGTTGCTCCTGTCTGACGTTTTGTCGGTAGATGAATTCCGGTAGCGGAGGCGTCCTGTGTGTATGCTACTAGTATTTTTTAATGTACTTTGGGTGGTATCACAATGACCGTGCCGAAGGTATGCTAGAGATATCATAAGCTACAACAAGGATTGCCGGTAGGCATCCCCAATCGAGTTTCATTCCTAACCAACTTGCCCGTTACTGTGGTGATCCTTCTTCCAGCGGAGCCGGACGATAAGACAAACAATCGTCCGACCCTCCTCCAACCCTGCCCCATCTGCCAATTCGCCCTGCCAATCATCGCACTCCATATGAGCCAGCTTCTCAAGCTTCTCTTCATATGGGCCAGGGTAAGCAGCAGCTATGCGCTGGTCGGACGCATGTCTATATACCAATATTGGTATATATAGCAATTTCCTAAGACAAAACAAGCCCTACCCATGAAAAATAGGTGGATTCAAAGTACGGTCCACATTAACTAGAGGCCTTTTGGAACTTGAACTTTGATATGATCATTAGCATGAACTTGAGGCTTCTCTAAACTCTGAAGAACATCAAAAGCAAGATGATCTTTCACTGAATTTTGTAGAAAGAGTGTTTTTACTGTCCTTGAGGGTGTGAGGTACCGTGCGGTACAAAATTTGGACCGTTGATTTTGCATCATCGAACGGCTGAGATTGGAGGGTACCGCGTCGTACCGCACGCGCTGGTTTCGGCGGTACTGCTGTGGGGGGGGGGGGGGGGGGGGGGGGTTAGAAAAGTATTTTCGCCTTATCCCGCAACAACGAGAAAGGAGGGGTCCTTTGATTCCGCTCGATTCCGCGGAGCGCTATCCTCTCTCGCTCTCTTTCATTAGTTCGTCTTCCTCCGCCCATCTCTTTCGTTCTCTCCGCTGTGTTTCGTTCTCTTGAATTTCTCTCCGATTTCGTTGTGGTCGCTGATGATGGGGGATGGCAGATCCCTAGTCCCCCCCCCACCCCCCCCCCCCAACACCCCCAATCTGGTCGTGCTACCCTTGAGCAATGGAGGCGATTCTGCCGCAACAAGGGAGCGGCTGGTGCTGTCAACGGCGCAACGGCGGTGAGATTCGCCCGCTGCGGAAGTCGTGGCCTGGAGAACGGAGAGGAACCGCCAGATCCTGGGGCTACAGAGCAACACCGCCAGATCGTAGAGAGTTTGGCCGCCGCCGCCGCTGGAATCATTTGGTTGATGCCGAAGCTGCCAAGATGACTCTGATGATGAGCTTACTCTTGCAGTACATGTTCGTAGTTAGTGTGATGGATGAACATCACCATTTTGCCTGGCACTGTGTACTGCCGCTCCAAAGTTAGTATGATGTAATAGTGAAGGCTATATGTCCATGTGCTTAGTCTTAATGTTCTTGCACTTATGCACTTATAATCGAGTTCTCGTTGATGCATTGATAATAGGAGTTTAATTTCATCTCCTTAGGTTAAAAAATTATTTATTCAGGATTGCTGAATCCTAAATATATGCTACTCCGTATTCAGTTTTCTTTGAAAATTGATGTTCTGGGCTTGTGGCGGCTATGAAGTACTTTCTGCCTTTGGTTCTTCGGTGTAATTACACACAACTTCAAGTAGTATAATCGTGTGGTACATGCATATTTCAAACTAACAAACATCTTCAAATCCAGGCACACTACATGGATATTTTTCACTTAAACAGAACTGATTAATAGCTGCAGTTTAGCTCAAGTGAAAAAAACATAACATGCAAACTGCTCCGGTACAAGTCAACAGAAATACAAGTTTAAATACGCGATGGTCGGGCGGCGGGCGATGGCCGCGGAACTAAAAACTCCCAGCCGGCATTGGCGCCGGCGGCAGCGGCAGATAATTAGGGGCTAAGACGGCAGAACTGCTGCGGCGACAAAACGCTCAGCCCCGAAACGCTACGGCGACAAAACGCTACGGCGGCGGAACACTATGGCGGCGGAACTCGCTACGGCGGCGAAACTCGCGCTTTGACTTGGGCGACGAGCCGACGACGACTCAGCGCTGGACGGGAAGGGATTGCGCCTCTTTTCCCTATTCGCTGCTTGGGCAGTGCCGACCTAGAGGCCCAATCAGCAAATACCTCCTTTTTTTCACCTCCCTCTGCGAGCTGGTTCTCTAATCGAACCCAGTGTTGTCATCAGACTGATAAAGTCTGATCATCTATCTATGGCCTTGTTTAAAAACTTTTTCCCAAAAACATAACGTTGAATCTTTGACACATATATTGAGTATTAAATATAGATAAATTAAAAAACTAATTGCTACAGTAACCCACATATGCTAATGACGAATTAATTAGGCTCAAGAGATTCATCTCGCGGTTTCCATGCGAGTTATGAAATTAGTTTTTTTCATTCGTGTCCGAAAACCCCTTCCGATATTCGGTCAAACGTCCGATGTGATACCTAAAAATTTTCTTTTCGCGAACTGTACATACATGGGGTGATAGCTGGGCCCACGTGAATGTGGATGCAGCCCAGACAAAAGGGCTAGCGCACGCCTATCCGTTATAGCGCTGCCTGCTTGTCTACTCAGACACCCTCCATGCTAAAAAAAAAATCAACCTAGGAGGATGTACAATAAATCTGAATAAAGGGTACTACCTCTGTCCTAAAATATAATTATTTTTGGCTACAAATCTAGACACACGGTTATGTAGATTTATAGCTAAACATACTTACATGTTGGGACGGAGAGAGTAGTCCATATGAGAGGTGTACAATAAATTTGGATAAAGAATAGTCTAAATTCGTTCTCCTCTTTTTCTAGATTGAGTTTTTTTTTTGAATGGAGGAAGTAGTAGGCGTCATGATTCGCCGAGATTTTTTTGATCTGGGTCTTGACAGAACCAATGGCCAACACAGGCATCGGCTCTTAGATGTGCATGGTATCAATCGAAAAAAATAATTTCTCTGAACAAAGGTACTACTATGGTGGTGTTTAGATCCAGGGACTTAACTTTAGTCCCTGTCTTTAGACACTAATTTAGAGTATTAAATATAGACTACTTACAAAACTAATTACATAAATAAAAGGTAATTCACGAGACAAATTTTTTAAGCCTAATTAATATATAATTAGAGAATGTTTACTGTAGCATCACATAGGCTAATCATGGATTAATTAGGCTCATTAGATTCGTCTCGCAAATTAGTCCAAGATTATGGATGGGTTTTATTAATAGTCTACGTTTAATATTTATAATTAATTTTCAAACATCCGATGTGATAGGGACTTAAAAGTTTTAGTCCCATCTCAACAGTGCTTATGCTCCACGATGACAGGCTCGTCTATAAAGGAAGGGGCGCACACATCCAAGTGCAGATTTTCCATCTCTATATAATCGCTGAAAACGAGTCTCAATAAGCTAGCGACCCGTTCCTTTTCTCATTTTCTTTTTTTATTGAGTAAATTTCACTTTGGTCCACCTAAAGTGACCAAAGTGGCACATTGAACTATGGCTAAATCAATATTTTCAGTTTGCACCACCTATGTTTACCACCCATTGCAAGTTGCACTGGGTTTTGAGTCACCTATTTGTTTTTGGTCCGATCGACGTGAGCAACTCGTCATGTATGTCCCATGCCAAGGAAACTCTCCATCTTCTACTTTACATCTGTGTGCAAATATTGCTGCCATTGAACTCACAATGAGCGCAACATTTGCCTTCCTCTCTTATTCTTCTTCTTGCTGAAGCACAAGCCCATGGATAGAGCCATGGAGGTGCAGCTACTTGGTGATGGCATAGACTTTGCTAGTATAGGACACCAAGGCGGCGCTTCCCATGCGCTGATGCATGTCGCCACTGCACTGCACGTGCTTGGTATCACCCTCGTCATGAGCATATGCTCAGCTCCTCGCATGGATCAACCGATCAGGCCGAAGCCAACCAAGTGACTCAAACATAAAGCCCCGTCCAATTTGCAATGGATGGTAAAGATAGGTGTTGCAAAGTGAAAATATAGGCTTAGTCCTAGTCCAATGTGACACTTTGGTCACTTTAGGTGGTGCAAAGTGAAATTTACTCAAAATTTCCTTTTGATCGACCGATACGGCTGCACGGATGTCTGGACAAATTTGACGAACAACGTCCATATCTGAATGTTGTATTCCTCAGCG